GAGCTGTGTGCTTTTCCCCCTCCTCCCACCAGCCCTCTCCTCCCAGGTTTTCCCCTCCCACTCTCCCTCCTCCCCTCTCTGACCTTTCCCCAGTCTCATATGTTTTGTTCCCCCCCACCATCCCTGTTCAATAAAGAGGCTTTGTTGTAATGATCGTGTGTCTTTTATTGTACAGCAGGAAGGGGAGTTAGGGAGGGGTAAGTGGAAGGACATGAGGGAGGAATGAGGCACAAGCCCCCAGTGGAGCACACCAGGGAGACTGTTACTGCCTGCAGAATGTGCTGCCAGGCTCGCAGCAACACATCCAGGAGAAGCACGGGCGGGGGGGGGGGGGGGGGAGCTTGGCTCCATAATGCAGAGTGCAGTGGTGTCCTGAGTGAGGGTAACTAGAGCACGCAGGAAAAAATGTTTTCCTGTCCCTCAGCAATGTAGGCAAGCAAGCAGGGAAGCCTTAGAACTGGCTGTCTGAGGGAGGAGGGGAGGTCCCTTTAAGCACAGGTCTCAGCCTCAGGCAGCAGCTACACAAGGTAACTCCTGACCTGCTGTCCTGCCAGAACTGGTTCCGGATGGCCTTAAATGTGATTCAGAATCCTATCAGTCTAGATGTGTTATTTCGAAATAACACTGTAGCGTAGATATACCCTCAGTGCTGTCACTCTAGTATCACAAACCTTTCTTAAATCTAAAAAACTCAAAGGAGGAAGACAGGATAACTTAATAGCTCTCCAATGGTCACTGACTTGAATCTGATTCAATTGTTAGTGACAGTCACTATCTGATGTGTGTCAGTTGCCTCTGTGAAATGTGATGGAGGTTGTATCCATATTACTACTGGCCCGTTAGGCTATTTTAGAGTGGCCAGGAATGAAATGATGGGTGATTGATTATGAGGCACATTGGAAGATCAGGAAGAGTGAGCTTACATTACTGTTACTTCCTCTTGTATAGTTTCTGTGCAGAATGTGAGTGGGAGATTTGAGCCTTATGCCTTCAATTAATTGATAATGTAATTTTTAAAAAAAACCTTAGATATTAAAAAGAGCACTTACTGCTTAAATTGGGAATTAGTTGTACAGTGTTCTTCCAAGCCCTATATACTGTAAAAAGGTGGACAATAAAAAGGTAAAACTGTGCTAAAAAACTCATGGCTATTTTTTCTCTTAGCATAGACGCTTAGTAAGAAATGCTACATTTAATGATGTTGTACATAACCATGTACAGCCTGTCCCTGTTATTAGATACAAGATCATTCTCATAAGTGGTGGCTAAAACAGCATTTGTACTGGGTTTAGTAATATCTTAAGTGGAAAAAAAAAGTTTTCATATCCTTAATATTGGGGCAAATCTCTTTCCTTTGTCGGTGTAAAGACTGCAGGATCTGATTCCCTCTTCAAATTTTTCTTTAACATAGTAGTGAGCATACTGGATGTCAGCAGCATCTCTTAACAGTATACTGTGTGAATGGAGTAATTTTTCATTTAATCTTTTTCTGAAAGGATATAGTCTGATTTAACCTAGTTATCTACCTCCCCCTTTTTTTCTTTCAATAAATTCTTTGTAGAACCCCTGTGTCAGTATTTTCAGCAGGTTCTCTGAGTCTGGTTTCACTTAGTAGAAATGGGAAAGCAGGCAGGATAAATGAGATGATGCAACACTTCAAAATAGTTGCTTCAAACTGCAATTCCACTGCCAAATATTTAAATGTATTTTGGTACTTAAAGCTACACAAAAGCACTTCTGAAAATCCCACCAGACTTGAAAGTGCCTAATGCAATTGATCATTTTTTTCATTCTACCTAGGGCTTCCCTGCATCTTCAGCTGCCTAAATAAGAAAATCTGCTCTTAAATGACTGGGAAGCCCCAGAAACCTCTCCCACAAGATTCTAAAGCCTCTAAGCTGCAGAAGTATAAAGAAGCAATTTGATGTCAGTATTGAAAGAAGCTGGAGGCACCTGCCTTGTCTACCCTGAACAGTTTTATTGTGAAAAGGTAGCTTTTGTGGACAAAGGAGTAGAAGTGTACACACTACAATGCTTCTTACTGACAAAACTCCTGCTTGGCTTACATATTGACAGAGTCAATAAAGATTCTGTGTTTGTTACCTCCTTGAGGCCAGTTACAGTGATGCCTCTCACAATGCCCACTGTGACTGCTCTCCTTGCTATTTTGAAGTCCAATGTTTTGTGTCATGCTACACAGGCATGTACCGCTCCCTGCGGCTGAGCAGGCATGCTCTGGCCAGCAAATGCATTTCTTGGATTACAGGAGGAGGTGGGTCTCATTGGTCTGCCAAGGAAGGATGCGGTGGGAGAACTCCGAGGGAATCACAGAATGCTACTCTCACTGGCAATAGGACAGCAGGCCGCTGCTGGGTGGGGAAAGCCAGAACTGATGTCAGAGTGTTCTCCTGCCAGTGACCTGGTTTCTGCTGAGCTGGAGGAACACACACACCAGCTTCTGTCTCAGGATTGGTTGTTTCTAGCTGCTGTCTGAACTTAGAGATTGTGTGCTGATACAATCACTCTCCCCCAAAACAGAAAGGCTACATCTAGGCTGGCATGATTTTCCGCAAATGCTTTTAACAGAAAAGTTTTTCCGTTAAAAGCATTTGCGGAAAAGAGCGTCTAGATTGGCACGGACACTTTTCTGCAATATCACTTTTTGCGGAAAAGCTTCTGTGCCAATCTAGACGCGGTTTTGCGCAAGAAAGCCCTGATTGCCATTTTCACCATCGGGGATTTTTTGTGCACAACAGTTTTTAGCTGTCTACAGTGGCCCTCTTGCGCAAAAACATTTCCAGAAAAGGGCTTTTGCCTGAACGGGAACGTCAAAGCATTTGCGCAAGAAGCACTGATTTCAGACAGTAGAACATCAGTGCTTTTGCGCAAAATCAAGCGGCCAGTGAAGACAGCTGGCAAGTTTTTGCACAAAAGCAGCTGCTTTTGCAGAAAAACTTGCCAGTCTAGACGCAGACAAACAGTCGTTTATACTTCTGTAAACTTCTTGGGTTAGTGTTCAGTAGTATCTGATCAGATTAAGGAATGATACTTTAACAAGTGATTTACAACATGTTACATTCCCAGGATATGTCTAGACTTACTTTCACTTTTGAAAAGATATGCAAATTTGGTGATTTGCATATGTTCTGATCACTTTTTTGAAAATTTTTTTCGAAAAAGCAGGCAGTTTAGACACGGTTCTGTTGAACAAAACCCCTTTTTTCAAAAGAACCTGTAAACCTCAATTTTTGAGGAAGAAGGTTCTTTCGAAAAAAGGGTTTTTTCCCCCAAAAGAACCGTGTCTAAACTGCTTGTTTTTTAAAAAAAAAAAAAAAAAAAAAACTTTTTGCGTATCTTCTGAAAGTGAAAGTAAGTCTAAACATACCTCCAGTTCACAGAGCAATTGTTACAAGTCGTTATATATACACTGGTGCACGCAAATAATTCTAGGCTTGGCCCACTGCAGCAACACACATTACTGTGGCTCAGTGTTCATATGTTCCTTCCAGGCCTCTCCCAGCCAAACAGCTCCTCACGGGGCTTTTCTCATAACCTTGTGCCCAAAATACAGCACAAAACTGAAGAGCAGTGTAGAAGCAAGATTTCTGACAGCTGGCTGGATTGCAGTTTATGACAGCAGTTAAAGAGAGATTGGCTATCTAGTAGGATGCCCATGGAATGATGGGATTGAGAAGCCATCATAATGATGCAGTACCTGTCCCCATGAGGTGCAGCAAAGCCCTCCCAAAATACCCTACAGCAAATTGCATAGTCCACTGCTCTCTCTGCCAATGTAAAAAGCTATTTTGGATGTGCTCCACTAACACAAGGAGCATAATGTGAACATGAAAGAGAGGTTTAATTACAGCTGTGGCTGTATGACTACATAACTTGCATCAACAAAACTCTGTAGTGTAGACAAGACACAAGTGTGCAAACTCCACTCTCAAGCAAACAAACATGGAAGACAGCTAAGATACCTGATGGAGGCAATTCCAAGATATAAAAACCATGAAATATGAGATGCATGAGTCTTTCAAAGAACATGTGACATGAATTTGTTATCAAAACTACATCATATATCCTAATGAACTATGACGTAAGACACAGGCCACAGTGCTCAAAAGCAATTGGTGATATGGGTGAGGAGTCTGATTTTCAGAAATTGCAAAGCATCCACCCTTTGGAAATCAGGCCTCTATTCAGGTGTCAAATTGGGCAGTAGTCAATAATTTTGAAAATCTTGGTTTAAAAGCTGTTAAAATATAATTTGTAACTAATAGGCATGGTTTGGAACATTGACAGTAAAAGGTCTTCCCTAAAGGAATAGGAAAATTTAAAGATTTTGAAATTGTGTGAGGATAGCTTCTGGAAACAACAGGAAAAAAATGTGGATAGTACACAACAGGTATTGTTTGCTCAGACAGCAACAGGGTTTCACCTTAAAATATACTTATCCAGCTGCCCTCTGAAGCTTTCAAAGCATCAAAATGAG